TTGGTTTATCCTGCACTCTACCCCTGAGGTCCCTTCCAGCTCTGAAATGCTTCCAATCCGTTTTCCTTCACCATCCATCCTCCTTGTCTTGGGTCACCAGTGCTGTGATCTGGTGAAATCTCAATGACGCTGGCAAGATGGCTGCATTAGAGAATTTTTTAAATGCACGTCTGTTATTTTCAAGTACATCGAATGTCATTGTGGGCGGCAAAGGTACACCAGAGCTATGACTGTAGGGCTGGTTAGCAAGTTGCTGTTGTTTCGGAAAGAGTTTAGTGAGTGTTCAATTAGAAGTGAAAAGTGACTCGAGAGTCTTTGTTGTGGGTGGTGCTGAGGTGGATAGGCAGCCCTTTCTGAAATGACTAAATGAGGAATTGCGGGCTTCAAGTCAACCAGAACTTATATTTAAGAGTGTTTTGTGTTGTTATTTTTTTAAATATATTTTATTGATTTCAGAGAAGAAGGGAGAGAGATAGAAACATCAATGATGAGAAAAAGTCATTGAGTGGCTGCCTCCTGCATGCCTCCCACTGGGGATTGAGCCCACATCCTGGGCATGTGCCCTGACTGGAATTGAGCCGTGACTTCCTGGTTCATAGGTTGACGCTCAACCACTGAGCCACGCCGGCTGGGCTAAGAGTGGTTTTTTAAATGGCATCTGTAACATGGTCTTCAGTTCCCAGCAAAAGCATCTCAGACCTACTAGAAATGGGATGAAACTAATTATCCCTGGAAATGTGCTCAGAAGTTGCCATACCTGTTCAGAGCATCATGTGAAGTGCCAGGTCCATTTTTTTTAAGTATAAAGGTTAAAGCCTTCACTATATTCACAACCTTATGCAATAATCACCACTATATAATTCCAGAACATTTGATCACTTGAAAAAGGAACCCGTGGGCAGTCACGCTCCATTTCTCCCAGCCTTTGGCGACCACTATTCTACCTCCCGTGTTTGTAAGTCTTGCCTGTCCTCACCTTGCCCTTTGAGAAGCCTCCCAAACCCTTGCCGTCCTCCCCAGGCCTGGGTGTGTAGGGGCAACACCTACCCAGTGTTCTGGCTCCAGTGCGGATACTGGCCCTCCCCAGAGTGCACAAGCCAACACCACTGTGCTAAAGGCTCAGACGTAACACAGGGAATTGAACAGACTCATGTGAAACTAAAATATCTGCTATAAGAGCAGGCAGCTTGCTCTGTGGGGCTCTCAAGCTCACCATCCTAACTTGAACCCGCTCCCAGGTCCTTTATTTAGTCCACGTTTCAGGTTTGCTGTGATGAGGAATGGACAAAGTCAAATTGTGTATCCAGTGCTTCCTCAGCCTTCTCTGTAGCACAGAGATTATGTGGGTTACCTTTTTGTTCCAGGTGCATGTGGGATGGGAAGGGGCAGCTGGAAAGCAGGCTGGGGTATAGCATGCTTAACTTGGTTATCTTTTGTTTTACAGCAGTGTATTTAGGACTGAGTGTCACGCATTCAAATCTAGCGCTGACTGGCACTTTCTGGGATGGTGGAAATGTTCTGTGCTGTCCAGTGCAGTAGCCACTAGCAACATGTGGACATTGATGACTAGAGACATGTGGCTAGTGTGACTGAGGGACTAAGTTTTTGTTTTATTTAATTTTAATTAATCTTTAAATCCAAATATACTCGTGTGGTTACTGGCTTGTCAAGTTGGACACGATAGCTGTGATAAACCAGCGATTTCTGGTGTATAGTCAATGTTACCGTAGGACAGCGATTTTCAATTGGTGTGCCGCAAGAATTCTTTTTTTTTTTTTTTTAATACATTTTATTGATTTTTTTACAGAGAGGAAGGGAGAGGGATAGAGAGTTAGAAACATCGATGAGAGAGAAACATTGATCAGCTGCCTCCTGCACACCCCCCACTGGGGACGTGCCTGCAACCAAGGTACATGCCCTTGACTGGAATCGAACCTGTGACCTTTCAGTCTGCAGGCCAACGTTCTATCCACTGAGCCAAACCAGTCAGGCAAGAATTCTTAAAGCATGCAATACCTGCCCTAGCTGGTTGCTCAGTGGTTAGAGCATGAGCACTGGCCCTTGGGTTGAAGGGTCATGGGTTTGACTATGGTCAAGGTCACGTACCTTGATTGCAGGCTCGATCCCCAGGCCTGGTTGGGACTCGTGAGAGGCAACCAATCAATGTGTCTCTCTCATATCCATGTTTCTCTCTCTGTTTCCCCCTCCCTTCCATTCTCCTTAAAAATCAATGGGAAAAATATCCTCCAGTGAGGATTAACAAAAAGAAAACAAAACATGCAATTCCTATTTAGTTAGTGACAACAGCCAACACAATAGCTGTGCTGTATGAATGAATCAAAATTATACCTATTTTTTTTGTCAGATCAGCACAAAGATATATTTTTTGGTGTGCTGCAGAATTTTAGTAATTAGTTTATGTGTGTCATGAGATGGAAAAGGTTGAAAATCCCTGCCTAGCAAGTCAGCCCATCCATCGCCAAACTGGCACACCTTTCCATACAGAAGACTCAAACAAGTAATTCTCTCAGCATGTATGAAAATACATTCCTCTTTTTGAAAGCTGTCTGATGGGATTGACTGCTTTTGGGCATTCCCTATTTTGACATCACATTTGTGGTGCACACATTTAAAAGTGTGACAGTGGAGAGCGACTCTGCTTCCCACTGTTCCCCAGGCAGCCCCTGCACCAATGTCTTGTGTTTTTTCCAAGGATAGACTTTGAAAGCTTGCATCAACAGGCTTTAAATTTTTCATTATTTTTATTTCTGATGATTTTTTGTATGTGTGTGTGTGAACCTGCTTGCCTTTCATTCATCCTTTGGGGTAGACCCCTGTCTAGGGAGTGAGAGAAACATGGCCCCAGTCTGCATGTAGCTGCCCAGGGACGGCCCACCGATTGACCAAGAAGTGAATCTCAATGGAAAAGCTCTTGATTATCTCATTTAAAAAAACATCTTGACAATAATCTGCATTTGTTTGGCTTCTGCTTTTTAAAACACTTTCATTTTTATGGTTTTACTTTTTTTTTTTTTTTTATGGTTTTACTTTTACTCTCGTTCAGAGTTTGAAGGTTTCTCCCATTTGGTAGTCCTGCAGTTCTATAGAAAGAAAATGCTGGTTATCACAGGGATACTCTGGGAAGTCCTCCTCCCTCTGAGAGGAAGGAACTAGAAGGGTGGGAACATTTGGTTAGGCCATAAAATTTTTTTATCTGTGACCTTTAACTCTCGTTTATTGCCTCCATTGTCCTAGAGTGCAAGAGTTCTGGGTTTACTGCACAGCATGGAAGCCCTGCGTTGTACTTGATGGCACTTTCCCCTTCAGCATGGTTCTTAAGGTCTCATCTTGAGATTAGTAACTGATGCTTTAAAAGCGTTTGTGAAGTGCTCGCTTCGGCAGCACATATACTAAAATTGGAACGATACAGAGAAGATTAGCATGGCCCCTGCGCAAGGATGACACGCAAATTCGTGAAGCGTTCCATATTTTTTTTAGATATATTTTGTTTCTGTCATTAAAAATAAAAAATAAAAAGCGTTTGTGAATTTGTAGTCACCCTCTCAACACCAGATTTTGCTGGTGGTAATTGACAAGAAAAGAGTTTTAAGACTTCATTTGGTGGTCAAATTATCTTTAATTGAAATTTTTTTTTTTTGTAGTTCTTAACTGGCTGGGCATTCCACTGCACCACGGTTGATATCGTCTATGATGTCATGAGGGTGGTGGCCATCAACACTGGGCAGTCCCCAAGATCTCTTTAATGGTCCCAGAGAGTTCTCTAGCTAAAGACCAGTGCTGCATCTGTCGGGCAGCGTTGACAACCTCATCAGAAGTGACATTTTCACTGCGCTTAATGTTTGGGGTTTTTTTTCTTCTTCTTTCTGTCTCTTGATGGTTCTTTGAGGGCTTTTAATAATCAGGGCAGAGGCAGAAGATACTACCTCAATTTGGGTCTGTCTGTTCTGAATGATCAATTCCACTGTAATCCTCAGACCCTTCCAATCATCTGTTGCTTTGGTGATGTCATCACAATTGTTTTGGTGTTTTGTTTTGCTTTTTAAATAAATTTTATTGATTTTTTTACAGAGAGGAAGGGAGAGGGATAGAGAGTTAGAAACATCGATGAGAGAGAAACATCAATCAGCTGCCTCCTGCACACCTTCTACTGGGGATGTGTCCGCAACCAAGGTACATGCCCTTGACCGGAATCGAACCCGGAACCTTTCAGTCTGCAGGCCGACGCTCTATCCACTGAGCCAAACTGGTTAGGGCCACAATTGTTTTGGAGACAGTCCCAGGGGACTGATCTTGGGAGCCAGGGCAGATGTGGCACCGACTTCTCCACTGGTGCCCCTAAGGTATATGACTTTGATTTTGTTGGGGGTTGTACATGGCGGCATGGTGGAGGCGGCTGGTGTCAGATGAACCCAGATTCTGGACCACCAAAGAAATTTGCACCTAGGCCTCCTCCAAGCCAAAAGCTGTAAAGACTTTATAGATATTTAGGGGTCACATGATCAAATTTTCTTAAAGTACTGATTATATCTAAAAGAAAGCAGTGTTTTTCACATCCATTTAAATATTTTCGTGAGTTTGAAACTTCAATTTGTTTTTGTTTGTTTTTTAAAAAAGAATTATTTCAGCCAAACCCTCATTTGAAAAAGACACTATGAAATATGTTTGATTTCAGTTCACAGAGGGGAAAGAACTGTATACCTCCATCGTGGACATATCATTGTGCTCTTTAAATGATTCTACCTAAATGTTCTTTCTTCCTTTTTTTCACTAAAAACATATAAAGAGTCACCGGTCAGGTCAGGATGATGTCATTACTGAACAGCCCCATTAGGCACACAGTAGGTCCCAGGTGCTGTCCCACTATAGCCTGTGATTGAGGAACGTGGAGTGGGACCTCAAGTGGATCCTCAGGCAGTGGGGCCTTCCCAAGCCGCTCCAGCTTTTTGGAACAGATCACTGTATAGTTCTTTCTCTCAAAGGAGCTGATGGTGGTGGATCATCATCCGGAAATGGGCCTGGGGTTGCCCCTGCTGCCCCCGCAGGGGCCTCTCGCTCCTCCTCCCGGAACTTAGGATCTTCTGGTGGTGAGAAGGAAGAAGGCAAAAAGGTCCGGCGACAGTGGGAGTCGTGGAGTACTGAGGACAAGAACACTTTCTTTGAGGGGCTGTACGAGGTAAGTGAGTTACGGGACCAGAAAAGGCCATAAAAACTCCTAGCTTCTTATCACCTGTATTTTTCTTTCAGTTTCCCTTTGCCTTTTTTACCACATGGCTACTCGATCTACTAGGTCCCCGGTTCCAATGGGGAGCCCCAATGTGACTGACAGGTGTGAGTCGCCAGGGCTGAGGCCTCAGCCTCGGACCATGGCCTTTTATCGCTTCATTGTGACTTTAAAAGCTCTTCTAGAGAGGTGGCTGTTTGGAAGTTTCTTTATATGTTTCTCTTCTTTTCCCAGATTCTACCCATTGTCTCAGCCATACCCTTGAGTGCCGAGTGGTACCATTCTCTATCGGCCTTCCCCTTGTAGCTGAGTGGGCCAATCAGGAGGGGCGTTCTCTGAGGGGGAAGGGCAAGGGGACACTTGGCCACATCAGTCAGAGCGGCCAGTTCAGTCCTAAAAGCTGACCTGGGACAGACTGTAAAGTCCTAAAGATAGAGAAAAGCTGCTCCCTGGTCCCACAGCTCAAAGAAATGGCCATCTCCCTGCCAGCCATTTTACTTTCATGTTTTGTTTTGTTTTCAAATCTTTGTAATTATAAGTAAACGTGCTTTTTTTTATTGTCAAATGCATTGATACGATGTTTCATAGTTCTTTTGTTCAGTACTTTTCTCATGCCTATAAATATTCTACTCTCAGGTGTAGGCAAATTTATGGTCTTTGTGTTTTCTGTCTGCTTTTGTAAATAAAGTTTTATTGGAACACAGCATTGCCTATTTATTTGTATATTGTCTCTGGCCAATTTTGACTGCGGTGGCAGAGTTGAGCAGTTATGACAGATACTGTGAGTGGCCTACAACATTTGAGTGTTAACCTTCTGGCCAAACCTTGCTCCAATTAACCATTGTGTTGTTGCTGTTCCAGATTCTGTTATAAGTAACAGTACAGTGAGTATCTTTGTACACATACCATATTTTAGGATACCTCTTTGGGCTATAGTAAGTTGGTTCAGTCGGTGAGCCTTATTCTTTTTTTTTTCTTTTATATTTATTAATTTGAGAGAGAGAATGATTTGTTGTTCCACTTATTTATGCATTCATTGGTTGATTCTTGTATGTGCCCTGACCGGGTAGTGAATCCACAACCTTGGCATATCAGGACAATGTTCCAACCAACAGAGCTACCCTGCCAGGGCGAGCCTTATTCTTTTAATGGTGAAGGAATTGGAGTGATAGAAAAGTCTGGCCACACCTGTGAAACAGTTTTATAAAGGAAGGAGGCTTTGAAATTGAAACCATGAAGTGCTCATAGAGAGACCAGAAAAGGAGACTCCTAAGTGGAGGCGGAGAACTAGAACTTGGTGCCAGTTTCTGACATTCCTGGGGCCGATGGTGCAGTTTGCCGGTCCGGATGGAGGAGGACCACGTGTTGGTATCATTGACTCGGTTGCCCAGGAAGAGAAGGAAGTATATACACAGACTTGTTCTAGTCGGTGCAGAATCATTCAAATAAATTCAAATGTGTTCTTTTTTTTTCCCTTTGACAATTTTAGAGTAAAGTAGAGGCTGTTTTTGTATAGATTATGTCCCTAAATTGCCTACTTTAAGCTTTCTGTTAGGCATAGAAGACTTGTGATTCCTGGAATGTTCCTAGAATAGCAACCATTGCTGATGCCAAGTTGAGACAGTTACTACTTTAATGTGGTCCTTCCCTCTCGGGCCCTACAGGGTGATCAGCTATGGTTGTCAATTAAAAGTAAGAGGGGAAGAATTCCCAATGACCTGCTCTTACTTTTTTTCAGGTGGATTAGTTCATTCTCTTTTCATTGGTCTAGCCTTCTTGTTTTAATTTTTCTACCGGGTAGGTGTTTCTTTTGAGGTTACCTGAATCCCTTGATTAATAATAATTGGCTGTTCTGATCACTTAATGCTTTCCACTATCGGTACTATGTATGCCAAATAGTGTGAGAGTGTTTGTGTTAGTGTTTGTCTGTGTATTGGTGTATGGGGGTGAGAGAGACAGAAAGAGAGAGAATATGATTGCTGGCTTTATGTGTGTCATTTTGTGTGTTTGACCAAAACTCAGGACTCTGTTGCGTTCTTGATGTATGCTGATTAGCTGGGGCATATAGGACCATGAACATCTTGAACTATAAGGTATGGAGGTAAAGGCCTCTGCTTTGTGAGTGTCACTTCTGCAGTGTTTGTCCAGGTTGTCATTGCCTTTTTTATATGCACAAGTCTGACTTAGCTATGCTTCAAGTGACAGAGACCTAGCTCAGCGCAGCAGCAGGAGACAAGGGGATTGATTGAGTGGCTTTCATGACTGGGAGGGACAAGGAGGGGCTGACTCAAGCTGGCAATGTCATCTGACATCTTCTTGCATTGGGGGTGACATTTCTGTGCTTATTCTCTCCATTTCAGATACTCCCCAGAGGCAAGACATCCACCCCCACCCCTATTACAGTTAAGACTGTTCTGAGGAGGATCCAGATTGGCTGAGCCCATCCTAGACTCCTCTCTGTGGCCAGGGTCATGGTCATGGTCATGGCCCCCATGACAGAGAACAAATCAGAGCGAATGCCTAGACCAGGGGTGGGCAAACTTTTTGACTCCAGGGCCACAATGGGTTCTTAAACTGGACCGGAGGGCCGGAACAAAAGCATGGATGGAGTGTTTGTGTGAACTAATATAAATTCAAAGTAAACATCATTACATAAAAGGGTACGGTCTTTTTTTTTTTTTTTTTTTTAAGTTTTATTCATTTCAAACGGCCCGGATTCGACCTGCGGACCGTAGTTTGCCCACGGCTGGCCTAGACCCACATCATCGTCCTTGACATCCTCTTACTCCGTTTCAACGGCAGTTCTTCACAGAGCCTATTGTCGGCTTTCCATTTTCCCTTCTTATGTCTGTCTGACTGTATTTGCTTCTGCGGTACAATTCTTACTTATAAGGCCAGTACCCTGTGCTTCTTTTTTCTTTTTTTAATATATTTTTATTTATTTCAGAGAGGAAGGGAGAGGGAGAGAGAGATAGAAACATCAATGATGAGAGAGAATCATTGATTGGCTGCCTCCTGCACACGCCCTACTGGGGATTGAGCCGGCAACCCGGGCATGTGCCCTTCACCGGAATCGACCCGGGACCCTTCAGTCCACAGGCCGACGCTCTATCCACTGAGCCAAACTGGCTAGGGCTACCCTGTGCTTCTTGATCACCAGGTTATAACTGCTGAAAGCCTCATCTAAGTGTAGAACACTATGGTCATGCTAGAAATGCTTGGAAGCACCCAGGAGAGGCCGAGCTGTCTTGGGCCTCTTATTGATAGGTATGGGGCATGCTGACATCAGCTGCTGCTTGATTGAGAGATTTTAGGGAAATCTGAAGACTGAGCCAGGACAGGCCATTCATATGGAAAAGCCGCTGCAAACAGCTTGGATGGGACTGCAAATTGGATGGGACAGGGTCTCAGGGAATCACCAGGGCAGATAAAACAGTGTGAGCCAGGCTGATGGAAACTCAGGTATGACTGTCAGTCAGCTCTGCGATGAGGGAGGTCTCAGCATAGGAACAATGGCCCCTGCAAGCACCTCTGTCCAGGAGAGAGCCACCCCCAAGTTCTTGCTCTGATGCTAGACAATACAGTTCCTCCCCATATGTCCCGGGATCCCCCGAGCCATTGCCTCAGTGCTGGAGCTCAGAGGGAGCAAGTCCATGTAAGTTCGTGTGCCAGCCCTTTAAGAGGAACTGCCTGGGTCTCCAGCAGCCTCTGCCACACTCAGCCACAATCCCTGCTAGTTTTTACAGCCCGAAGTTATGGGGACTTCTCTTCCCAGCTCTGGAATGCTGGGCTGGGGGTCTGGTGTGGGGCTAGGACCCCTTGCTCCTCACGGGAGGCCTCTGCAGCCAACATGTCCCTCCTGATTGAAAAAAATGCCACACGTGGGTGTCAGACCAGCCCGTTTCATGCCTCCCTTCTACCAGTCTCCGTGTGCTTCTTCTTTACTTCTATAGTTGTACGACTTCCATTCAGCCAGCTTTCAGGAGGTTCTGAATGATGGTGGTTCCGTTTTTTAGTTGTATTTTGATGTGGTTGTGGGAGGTGGTGAGTACTGGCATTTACCTACACTGCCATCTTGGTTCTTCCTTAACTTTTCACTTTGAAACAATTTTAGACTTGGAAAAAGTTGCAAAAAAAGTACAAAGATCTTCACATGCCCTTTACTCTGCTTCCCCAGTGTTCACATAACTGCAGCATGGCCCACAGATGAGGAGAATCGATGCGGGTACAATACCTTCACTGACCCGAGGGCCTTACTCAGGTTGAGCTGGTTTTCCCACAGACACCCTTTTTGGATCAGGATCCCGCATTGCATTTAGTTGTCATGACTGCTAAGTCCTGGAACAGGTCGTCAGTTTCCTTTCCCCCACTCTTTCATGACCCTGACACTTTGGAAGGCTCCTAGACTGTTAGTTTGTGGGCTTCCTAAGGCTTGCCTCCTCATGATTCAATTTTCTTTTTAAGGATAAAATAAGGTTTTATTTATAGTCTTCTAGTAAAGGGGACTGATTTGATTTTCATTTTGCATTTTTGCTAGGAGCACCGCAGGAGTGTGGTGCTGCCCTTGGAGCATCCTTTCCGGAGTGCAGGGTGCAGTCTGCCTCAGTCCTGGTGGTGTGAATGTGCATCTCCCCGGTCAGCGGTTCTCAACCTGTGGGTCGCGACCCCTTTGAGGGTCGAACGACCCTTTCACAGGGGTCGCCTAAGACCATCGGAAAACACATATATAATTACATATTGTTTTTGTGATTAATCACTATACTTTAATTATGTTCAATTTGTAACAATGAAATTGGGGGTCACCACAACATGAGGAACTGTATTAAAGGGTCGCGGCATTAAGAAGGTTGAGAACCACTGTCCTAGGTTCTCCATCACCAAGTTATTTTTAACTTTGATGCTGAGTCAACACCCTGTTTCTCATTGTTCTTCCACTAATTTTAGCCACCATTGCAGCAGCTTCCCTGAAATAACTGTTACAATGATGTTGCCCCGTGATGATCTTCTGACTCCATTATTTCTACATTTATTAATTGGAAACCCAGTGCAAGAAAAAGTGCTCCCTTCTCCAATTATGTATTTATTTGGCTTTTTATATTTGTATGGACTCAGGGATATTTAGACTATTCTATAGGTCATAACCCATTCTTATCATTGTTATGTTTTCCCTTTTATTTTTCATTTACGGTTGACATTATCATTGTTGATTTTGTTGCTCAAATTGTTCTAGATTTGGCCATTTATAACATCTTCAGGTTGGCTTCTGTGTGCTTTCAACACATTCCTATTATACTTTGAGCATGTCCTCACTTCTGGCACCACAAGATATTCCAGATTCACCTGGTACTTTCCTTGCCCCAGATCTGGGAGCATCCATTCCTCCAAAGAGCCCTGGTTCCCTTTGGAAAGTGGGATTTAGAAGCTAAGGATGTTTGCTGATGCTGGGGTGCCATTACCTCTAGGCCCTTCACAGTACTTTTTACTGGCTTGGTTCTGATGAGAGTATCAACAATAGGTTCCCATGACAATACCTGAAACAACACAGATGGTGACTATGTTCCCTAGAACATAAATTCTTTTCTGAAAATCTAAGATGTGTTTGGCTTTTGCGTGGAGGTATTGAAGAATGGGACATTTCATAGATGTACCACATTCCGAGCATAGTCTGTGTGATTCTCTTAATTTGCTATCCCTATTCAAATATAGAATATATTTTATGTGATGAAAGTGCTGAGGGTGCTTCTGAATGGTCAGTGTCTTGTATTTTAAGGTGCAGATGCACAACCCTCTGAACAGCCCTGTCATGTTCTGTTCTGATGCGTGTTTCACAGAGCTGTCTCATTCAGGGTCTCCAAAGAACTATAGAAATTGAGCCATTTGAGTAATAAGCTTTATGTTTTTCGTGCTCTATGGACCTTGCCTCTTTGATATTCACTGCTTTGAGAGTTCTATCCCTCTGTTTCCATTGCTGCTCTAGCCGTTATTCTGATGAAAATCCGAATTCTAGGGAAGCAAGGTTGAAGTTGATGCACACATAAGAGCTGTGAAGAACACTTGATTGGTCACAGTGGTCCCCTCTCTCTGGAAATGTCTGCGTCGTACAGAAGGCTGCCTTGTTTTAACCTCTGTGCTTTTACCGTGGGCTTATTTTCCAGCATGGAAAAGACTTTGAAGCAATCCAGAACAACATAGCTCTCAAGTATAAGAAGAAGGGCAAGCCCGCCAGCATGGTGAAGAACAAAGAGCAAGTGAGGCACTTCTATTACCGCACGTGGCACAAGATCACCAAGTACATCGACTTTGACAATGGTGAGCGTTCCAGGCTCAGTCTCTGGGGAAGCGGGGGGCAGGGTTGGGATCTGGTCAGAAGCAGTTTTTGAAACATCACAGGACACTCTGGTGTCATTCTTGCCCAGCCACTTTAAAAAAATATTTATATTAATATAATGTTAATGTATTAATATTTATCTTTAAATATACTTTCATATATATTTAACATTAAGAAAAAAAACTAATTCAAGTGATGCCGGGCAAAAAGGGAAAATTTAAAGTGAGACGTCTGTCTGCTGTTCTATCTTAAGTATCACAGTCAACTTACTTTATTTTGGAAGAGAAGATGTAAAAGTTTTTTTCAATCATTCAGCAGGCAAGTATAGCCATTTATAAAAATAGAAGGGTGGGGACAGAGTAGGATATGAAAGTCAGAGGTGAAAGGGTAGAGCCAGAAAGACATTTTCAAAATAAAATGAACAAGGTGACTGTTCCAGAAGAGGGCTATGAAGAGGACATGGTGGATCAGTTTGTTGGTCAAGTGATGATTCAACTTTTAAATTATCCTCTTGTTTTTTGTTGGGTTTCTTCTTTGTTCAAATCTGAGACTTAGAGATGTTGACCCTTTGTTACAAGAGCCAACAGGAAATACAGGATCCCTTCCCTCCCTCGGCCTGCCTCCGCTGAAGCCACCAACCATCGCCTCCTTGGCTGGATGCTGGAAAGTCCTCCGTGTATGTGGACTCAGGACGACAGGGCAGCCTCCTCCTGTGGTTGCTGGGCTTGTGAACGCTGCAATACCTTTTGGCTTTCCACATCTCTAACATGTTTTCCAACTATTTTGTGTACATGGCTCAGTGCACTCTCCTCTTTGCTTTACGGGTTTCCACTTAATATGAGGGTGTAATCACAGCTTCTTCCATGACTGTGATGTTTTTTTCTTGCCATTTAAAGTCGTTAATGGTCTTGTGAATGGTCTGGAAGGGCTGCTGGCCCTCCAGAGAGACACCAGCGCTGACTGCATAGGCCTGGCTCAGTTTTCCTCCTCTGTCCATGCTTTGCTGGCAAGTTTACTCACATTGAGTGATGCTAGGGGAGAAGGAGTTTCTGTTGGGTCATTAATTATTTCCACTTTTGAAACATATTATAACTTTATGACCAACATGTCTACATGCTTGGGCTTTCCACTAGAAGAGGGACATTTTAAAGCCAGCGTTTTGGATTGGCAGTCGAAGGGTATTGCCCTGCCCTGAAGCCGCTGCTCCTGGCATGTCTGGCAGGACACCTGGCCCCTAATGCCGAAGTATTTGCCCGGAGGAGCCACCATCTTGGGAGAGCAGCTGTGGCTGGTGGCAGCTGCAGCGGGCAAAAGCCGGGCGCCCGGTGAGCACTGCCATGCCGGCCAGGCCAGTTTCACTTTCTTTAATCTTACTCTTCATTTCTACAGTTGTGGTCAAGGGCCATTCATTCCAGACATTTGCTTTTACTGACTTCACTTCTTTCTGATGCTTCTCTTCAAATAATACTTTTGATCCAGAATATGAGCCCTGGCTGGTGTCTTCAGTGGTTAGAGTGTAACCCTGCGCAACGAAGGGTCTCGGGTTCAATTCCTGGTCAAGGGCATGTACCTGGGTTGCAAGTTGATCCCTAGCCCCTGTTGGGACGCATGCAGAAGGCAACCAGTTGATGTGTTCTCTCACATTGATGTTTTTCTCTCTCCCCCCCTCCCACCTTTCTTCCCTTCCACTCTCTCTAAAAATCAGTGGAAAAAATATCCTTGGGTAAGGATTAACAGAAACAAAAAACTGATAGCTGCAGTCAGATCACTCCCCCTTTGCACCTGTGCTGTGAGTCCTTCGTGGCAGCCTTCTCTCCCTCTCGTTCCCCTCCCTGCCCTGCCCTCTGGTGTTCTCCTGGCCTGGTCAGTGTGTGTTGGCCAACTGGAGTAATCAGGACGGACCCATCAGGATGCCAGGACCAGGACTTCCTCCTCCAGCTTTAGAAAGACCCGGAGAGCTTGGATCAGGCTGTCTCTTTTTTGTAAAGGGTCAGATGATAAATATTTTTGGCTTTTGGGGATTTACAGTCTTTATCAAAATGACTTCACTCTCCTGTCTTAGCTCATTGTAGATCCCATGTAAAGGAATGCATGTTACTGTGTTCAGCAAAACGTTTATTTACAGAAAGAGGCCCCGAGCAGGATTTGGCCTGTGACCCTGCCCTGGAGAAATTTGTTTGGGGGACGCAAGCTCCTGGCAGTCATAGTAGTTAGCTGACACTTTCTCTGAGTAGATTTCCCTTTGAATCTTCATGGACATCTCACCCACCTGTCATGGTTTCGCTGGGTCTCTTTTCAGACCTGCCCTCCCCACCTAGTCCCCCTAGGTCCTTTTCTAGGTCATTGCTGCTCTCCCTCTTTCTGGTCTTGTTCTTCCCCAACCCACCCTCCACATAGCTTTATCCACACAAAAGACCCATGTCTGCCTGTCCCCCTGCCTGAGCCCCGCTCCCCATGCCCTGTCCCATACCCTCATCCTACCCGCCTTGGCTCCCAGGATGGGGTTGCCACCCTCCTGCTAACCTGCACTTCCTTTTGTGTCTTGACTCCTGCCACCCCTACTCTGTTGTTCTCCCTAACCCCATTCACCTTCCAAGACTCAGCTCCTATGTCAGTGCTCTCAAAAATCCTTCCGTGAATTCTCGTGCCCTCACTGCCACCTCATCATCTCATCATGGGCCTACTTTGTGCCCATCATTGAGCACATTTCATACTTTTCCCTGGGAGTGCTATCACCCTCACTGCAGATAAGAAAACCCTGGCTTAGCATTGGAGGCCCTGGCCCAAGCCACCCAGACAATAAGCTGAGGAGCTGTGCTCCATCAGCCATCATCTACTCACCTTTATCTTCTGTAAATGTAATGTTTTCAGACCATCTCTTCATGTTGCCATAGAATTTCCCCATGTTTTTCATGAAATGTTAATTCTTTGAGTTGACGTTTTTTAAATGAATAAACTTTACCTTTCCTTTTGGACTTACAATCCACTTCTAGTGTTTTTATTTTATTTTTTAATGAGTTACTCTTTTCTTTTTAAAAAATTAATTTTAGAGAAAGAGAGGAAAGGGAAGAGAAAGATAAAAACTTCCATTTGTTGTTCCACTTATTTATGCAGTCATTGGTTGATTCTTGTATGTACCCTGACTGGGGATCAAACCTGTTGGGCAACCTTGGCATGGCAGGACAACGCTCTTAACCAGTGAGCTACCCGGCCAGGCCACTTCCAGTGTTTTTAAATAATGCAAATGTGGACATTTCTTTTCATACAGCCCTTTGTTCCTTCAAATGTACTTCCTTTAGGTGACCTCGTACAGTTGGGATAGGTAAGTCCGTGTGGCACACGGGAATTAGTTTTAGCTCTTTGGCTCTTTCTATGTTGTCTTTTACATCATTCTTTTTTTTGTTTGTTACATATATTCTTTAGTTACTTTCTGAA